AAGATGGCACAGCATGATTCAAAGATGGCACAGCATGACTCAATGATGCACAGCATTGATTCAAAGATGGCACAGCATTGATTCAAAGATGGCACAGCATTGATTCAAAGATGGCACAGCATTGATTCAAAGATGACACAGCATTGATTCAAAGATGGCACAGCATTGATTCAAAGATGGCACAGCATTGATTCAAAGATGGCACAGCATTGATTCAAAAACGGCACAGCATTGATTCAAAGACGACACGGCATTGATTCAAAGATGGCACAGCATTGATTAAAAGATGGCACAGCATTGATTCAAAGATGGCACAGCATTGATTCAAAGATGGCACAGTATTGACTCAATGATGGCACAGCATTGATTCAAAGATGACACAGCATTGATTCAAAGATGGCACAGCATTGATTCAAAGGTGGCACAGCATTGATTCAAAGATGGCACAGCATTGATTCAAAGATGGCACAGCATTGATTCAAAGATGACACAGCATTGATTCAAAGATGGCACAGCATTGATTCAAAGATGGCACAGCATTGATTCAAAAACGGCACAGCATTGATTCAAAAACGGCACAGCATTGATTCAAAGACGACACAGCATTGATTCAAAGATGGCACAGCATTGATTAAAAGATGGCACAGCATTGATTCAAAGATGGCACAGTATTGATTCAAAGATGATGCATCATTGGTACAATAGTATTGATTCACTGATGGAACACTATCGACACAGTATTGATTCAGTAATGACACAGTATTGATTCAATGATGGCACACTATTGGCTCAGTGTTGATTCAATGACAGCACACTAATGGCTCAGTATTAATTCAAAGATAGCACACTAATGGCTCAGTGTTGATTCAGTGGTGACACACTATTGGCTCAGTATTGATTCAATGATAGCACACTAATGGCTCAGTGTTGATTCAATGATGGCACAGGCATAAGATAAAGACAGTACATCATAATCTTGACATTAGCTTCATTCAATTTCTGAAACAATGCCTGTTCATAAATGAGGCAGACTTCATCCTTGACTGTACCACACATAAAATCAGTAAAAAGACGGACAAAGCAGACAGACTCACTTGACACTGATAAGGTTCTTTTTATCAGACTTTCTATTTATTACACCATCTTCTTCATCCATCATAGTCTCCAACTGTGCTACATCATCCTCACTCAATGGGGCAATGGATATGTCACGGACGGCACGAAACTGACCACAGTTGTTCAAATGTTCATTTTCAAGACGGAAAAAGTTCCAGACAAATCTCCTGAGAGCAGATATTAAATGAGAAGATGGTTAATTACATGTGGTTGACACACAGAGGAAGTATGAATGATTGGGGATTGTTTTTTTAGGAATATATTAAAAGAATTAATAGGATGATGCACAAGCAAAATGACTGGGAATTGAAACTTGGTTTAAAACTTCTACGAGAATATCTAAATAGTGAAAACACTGAATGTTTGACACAGTATATATCAGGTCACTAACCTGAACACTTCCAGTGGCGATAAAATAGTCACTAGTATGTCTGAATCAAAATAATTCATTTCACCGACTGAGACTGTTAATGTCCACGCAAATCTCAATATAAGGTCTTCAAATACAGCTAGGTAATAATAGGCCTGCAAATAACAATTAGGTATCAGAGTAGGGTAGTAGTTAGTTATTGAGTATAAATTTCTTAGTTATCATAGTAAATGTATGGTGAAACCTGCCCAAGACAGACTCAAGATTGTTAAATGAATGTTCAATGCATGGATTAAAATTCTGTAATCATTTGTGGATTCAGTAGTTAGTTATAATATTGAGTACAAATGAAGTGAAACCTGCCTAAGACAGAATTCAAATTTTAAATGAGTGTTCAATACAATTCAATTCAATTCTGTAATCGGTTATGGATCTAATGAATGCTAGTATACATGCCGAGTCACTAATGGTGTTACTAGAGTTTTGAATTTGTTTTACAAGTGAATTCCACAGACGTATTTGTTCTAATAGAAGCCACACATAGAGCATTTAAATATGACTATAACTATAACCTGTGTCATTTACATATAAAGTGCATGCTCTACTAATATTGCAAATATAGCTATAAAAATATCCCCAACTGGAATACAAGAATTTCAATCATTGTACAAGAATATATGCTCTTCCAAAGTTGGGCAAATGATCTCCTATGTTTGAACACATACATATTATTTTGGCAGCAACATATACAAAAGGTCCTTCATACAAGAAGTCTATATAAAACGCATGAGAAAAAGTATTTGGTTTACACACAGACAGATTTATAAGTACGAATACTAACAACTAGTGATAAAACATTTGTATCACAAATATTTTTTAAATATACACAGTACAAGTGAAGAGATTCAATTTGAATGATCTTTCTCGCTAAATTTCATCTCCATTTGAGGCGAAGAGAAAGGAACCAGAGTAATTAGCCAGCCGTAATGGCGCCGCCATATGGCCTCGGTCATGTGGTTTGTGACGCAAGGGAAAATAATCTTGGGGTCATGGGGCTTCCCCTGACCTAGATTCTATCTCTCCGTCATTGGCAGAATAGCTGATTAATGCCTACAGTTCAAAATAGTCATTTTGACTGACCAGAGTCTATGGTGGGTAATTGAACGTAGTGAATAGACTGTATAAAAATTAGCTAGAATATTGTTTTTGAAATACGTTATAAACTTAACTTTCTAATGAAACTCAGGCATTTGAAAATGAAGACTAATCTACCGGTAACATAGAATGACTGCACACTGGTAATATAAACACATCAAATTATGTCTCACTGTTTACATACTGCTGATGTCACTAAAAGTCCTACTGTAAAAACTGTATTAGAAGCCGCGGCTTCTATTAAAATGGTACAATGCAACAGAAGGGATGCGGCTTCTATTAGAGTATCTACACATATGAGAAATAATGAATTCTTGGTTCTCAATTATTCAATAAAAATGGGTGCAACTTCTATTAGGGATGCGGCTTCTAATACAGATTTTATGCACTATGCAATTCTAAGTCCTTTACCTTATATGGATAAACTATCTCTTCTCTTAAAAATTTATTTTCTCCAGCATTTTTATCAAGCAGTCCCCAATCCATCTTAATGTCCCATGTTAATGCATAGCTTGAACTGATGACAGCACTGCCAATCCATAAATAGAAAAATGGGTTGTCCTGGATATTTCCATAGTGAGCTGTCGAAACAAAAATATACATCAGGGGTTTGTCTAGAAAAAAAAAACTGCAAGAGGGGGCACTGCAATTCAGTGGCGCCACCAGGTGGGGAGATAGGGTTCTCCCTACCAGGGTGGGGAGTTTCTGATAATTTTAAGTTAAAATGGAACATTCTATGGCTTCCTTGGGGCCAAAATTATGTGACCATATGTGATCTTTGGTCAATCAGAATTTTATGGTTACCAAAGAATCTGCTCTCCTGGGTAAGGGGGCGCATGGCCATGGCATGAGGGCGCTGTGCCCCTGTCCCCCTGTTTAAAAAAAATCCCTGTACATATAATAATTCAGAACTGCTACTTTGGAAGTTGTTTTTGTCCTATAATGAAGGTAAGTTGTTTTTATTTGTAACCACAGCTGCATCAAAACACTAATGGACGTATGGCTTTTCAAATTGATAGTAGAGGGGGGTCCAAAGAAACAATTTTGAGCTTGCATGGGAGGATGTTGAAGAAGAATAATGATTTTCAGTGCACTGAGACAATATTGAGAAACTGGTAATCCTATTTTTTGTAATATGGCACAAAGCAAACATATGAAGACAAAACTGAATGGATTGCAGAGTTAAGTTGTGACATACCTTTATATACAGCAGCCAAAGACGAAAACAATACAACAAAAAACGTGGTGGAATATTTTCCAGCATTGACTAAATGTGGAAAGGCTTGTTTTGAATCATAATAACGTCGTAGGCACTGTGCAAAACGCCACCAGGCAGGAAGGCAGGCAACCACAGAACGTATTCCATAGGAATAACTGTAGCATTCAACATTATCTGAAATATATACGATAAGATGGTGATGTAAATTCTCAACAAAATTTAATCCAGATTTATAATAAGAACCTTTGTACACAATTTTATAATTTTTTTGTTATTAATAAGTGTACATTGCTGTATGCCTTGTTCAAAATATCTGACAGAAATAAATAAAAAAAAAGGATAACAAGTTTACTGCAGTTTACTACAATTTTATAACAACTTACTTTCTTTTCCAAGCCAATCAACAGTAAATGAATAAAAACATATCAGGTACTGTAAATCTAAAAAAATGGCTACTAAACTATTAAGTTGATCAGCCAGCCAGAAATCTGCAAAGCGGACTGGAAAGAATGGTGCTAGAAATATCCGACACTGGAAATTAAAAAAAATGAAGTTTTATAAGTAAGCAGCCTACAGGGGAGCATGTTGAAGGTCTGACATAAGTTATTAAACAAGCTTCTTGAGCTCAAAGTGCAACATTCATCACTTTGTATCAATATCATGGGTCCCATGCAACATATACAGTGACTTATACCAAGAAAAGCGATACAATTGAAAGATTCAGCAAGCAGTTGCATTGCCCGAGAACAGCCCTGAATGGAAGTTAATTTACATGAAAACAAAGAGTCTATGATACACTTTATCATTAGCTCATGGATAATCATTGCATATCACATGACATTAAAATGACCATTCTAATTTATGTATTTACGCAGATTAGTCATTATATGTTGGTGTAGTGGATTCAAACCCCTACCATCAAACTTATTCAATACTAGTAGGTAAAGATAAGCAGTATGTACTCGTCGACTCCAGATGTTGCATCTTCACTGAAGCTGCATAGCCTTACCCAAGATGCAAGGTCTGATTTCAATAGCAGTTTAGAAGTTATATACAGTTACTAGTATCTATAGCGATTACAACTCTGCATATGAATGACTCTATAGTAATTTACACACCACATATCAATACAAGTGTGGCTGCTTTACAATGAGCATAAATACAGTACAAAATACAGATTTAGTTATAGTAGAACAATGGGTCACATGACCACAAGTGGTATAAGTATTGTAAAAGAATTATTGTCACTGGTACTGAATTTCACTATTTTATCATTTTCACAAAGTTTTAAAAACACATTTTTTCCAGATTTTATTGCAATTCAACATGTTTATATGGATTTGAATTTAGAGAATTTCACTTATCAGCAAAAATAGTTGAATTAATGAACAATCAAAAAGTATTATAGTATTTGTATGAATGTTAAAGAGTGATATTTCCCAACAAAGATAGCTCACAGACTTACCAATATCCTGAGAAGCCAAAATCTGGCTCTATAGTACAATGTTCTTGTTGGATTAAGTAAAAAAATCACCATAAATCCCACTAACGCTAATGGATTAGCCAGCGGTGGTAAATTGACCATATCACTGAACAGATATCCTAAGACACTTAAGGCCCAAAGAACACCAAAAAACATAGCCACCTGTGAAGATATATTTATAGTTGTTTATTAGTTAATTATTTAAAGGTAGCAACCGGGGTAAAATTAGATTGTACATGCAGTTGGTAGCATGCCTATAGTTATTGGGTTGTAGCTAGAAAACAAAAGCAGGTAAAGAAAAATTGAGATATCTAGAATACAGTATTATAAACGTTCTGTGCAATTCACAGGGAATTGGCGTGAATAAAAGTAGTAAAAAATGGCAAAATAGCACAATAAACTGGTTATCAGATAATCCTTCAGACAAACATTTTATTCAGATGATATGCGGATTGATATAGTAGCATGCTTAGTAACTTTTAGAGAAAGTCTGAATCACAGATCAATTTTTAACACGT